GACAGTGCTCCAAAGGAATGAAATCCAGCTTAAAAGAATCTGTGCATCTTCTGTACCTCCAAATGCTGAAGCAAATGGAAAAGCCAAGCTGAACAGATTTTTCCAAATTTTACTCAGCTGTTTGCTTTGAAARAGGATTATCAGATGACACAGGTGCATCTGCTATCTTCTGCTATCTTCTTGCAATAAATTATTTTGAAATTGCTTTTCATGTGTATAGAGAYACATAAAACTAATGCATCAATATTAAAACCCACCAAATATCAAGGGACACTTTAGTTTGGTCCATGCATAGACCTGAGAGACAGTAGTAATTTTATATTTTGTTTTCTGTGACTCTTTTGGTACTTGTATACTRTAGCTCCTAAACTATAATGAATGCTATATGAATTCATTCTTATATTTTCTGAGCAACTCACACTCTGTATTTCTGAACACGTTGCCTTTAGCACGTTTTCTGCCCTGTGTTAAGAGAGTAAATGGCAGAGAACTTGACAGGCTGTTCTATGAAAAACTTTTTGTTTCCTTCTTTTTTGAAAACAAAATATCTGCAAATTAATTTTTCCTTCAGAGACACCACTAGGGATTCTTATTGCACCAGYAGAATGAACATCTTTTGGGATTTTTTCAGACACTGGGCTCACTTCTCTTAACCAAAACAGGTAGTGTGCTATCTACCAATGGCGCTGGGTGCAGCTCCAAAAACTATCAAGAACTATTTGAAACAGCTGAGCAGTTCTTAATCACAATCTTCCTTCAATTTCATGCGACTGTAAAAACAAAAATAAAACCATGATCTGTTTAACTCTGAAAACTGTTGTTTACACTCTGTGGCCTTATGAATAGCACCTTGATAGGGGAWGTTAAATGCCTGGTTTCCCACAAAAACTGCAGTAAGAGAAAATGTGCTGAACAGCCCCATATATCATCATAAGAATYCAATATCCAGGGCATTTTCTGTTCACTGTGCTTGAATTCAGAGGAAGACGAGATAAGGTTAGAAAAACACAGCAGAGATTACTTGTCACTTTAAAGCATCTCCCTGTGTTAACTGTTTTATGCTGTAGGCTCTGAAATACCTTCACATCCTCCTAGACAGTGCTGAGAAGTAGCAGCTGAGCAGTTCTGTGATAAAGTACATGATAACTCAAGTGGGTGCTAGCTACAAGTGTTTGCAAGTATTAAGAATAATACACAAAGTAAAGCCCAACAATTCCTAAAGCAAAGGGCTGACAGCTCAGGTGGGTGGACATCCATATAGATTAAGTGGGTAATAAGGTAACACAGCTTTCCATGCAGCCTAATGGAGCGGAAGAGAAAGCAGCAAAAACAACGCTCAGAGCAAAAGCAAACAAAAAAAATTATCTTTTCTACTAAGCAAACTCTTCTCTTCCTTCTTGCTGCTTTTCTCATTGCTCCAGGGTAAGTATCAAGTGCTTCAGTCAATCCTATTACCCTGATCTGAGACATCCTTAGGATGGGTGAGGGATTACAAGCCTGGGAAGGTAGAAGTCAGGGCTGAAAAACCACATTTTCTGGTAAAGCCAGGAGCTGCAAGAAATGGTCTATCCACTTTGGTCCCTCACCGTTTACAGGCTCAAGCTTCCTAAGGTTTAACTCTCTACAGTCCAYCAAAAACATGTCACTGCAATTGTGTAGGTGAAATGAGAGATGAGCCAAAGACAACCTAGGTTGTCTACAAGTAGTACACAAGTCTACAACTACTACAACAAGTAGCACCTAGGATCAACAGCCTGGAAAACTTACAAGCTGGCTGCAGTGAGCACATTAAACCCAGCAGAGAGCTATGTAACAGAGTCTTCTGCTGCTCCTCTCTTCCAGGCTCCTCTAGCAACATAAATCACACTGAAGGATCTTTACAGGGTCAAAACAGAATTGAAAAGTGATTCCAAATATTATGTTACTTAGCAGTAGCACACCAATGGAAAATAAAACATAATTTATRTCTCAGCACCGATACAGAGTCTGCTAAGCAAGTCCCAGAGAGTACTTCTAGAGCACAAGGCAGAACAGAGTTTATTACAGATTATTAGCAACTAAGCGGATTTCCTTTGTGTCCTTTTTACAGCCTAAAACTCATTCAATGCAGATGTACACCAACTAAAATTTTGGCTTGTCAACACTGCAGTACTGTAATATAATTGGGAGAGAAGGTAAATACATTCTCGAAAAAGATGGATGTGGGTGAGGCAATTTTCAGTTATCTCATTAAAAACAACTGGATTTTTAAAWGCCATCCTGACACGGTATCACGAGTTAAACTGTAACTTTGGATCATTAGAGCTTCCTGTTAGATACATTTCCAAATGTATCAAAACATAGAGAAAAGCACCAGTAGAAAGCAGTGGTGCATTTAGCTGCTCACCACACGGCCAGCAGCGAAAATACGAAGGGAGAAAATTCTGGCACTTTATGGGGTAATTTTTCCTTCTAATTCCTCCAGCATTCAATTGTGAGAGAGTGGCCCCCTGTTGAACAAGACTGCCACTGTTCCACTGTGTAGATAACAGGGAACTCTGCAATTATTTTCAGTTCAAATACAGGTTTTATTGTAATACAAAATTAAAACGTTTTAAATTTTTCTAGAAAACTGCTAGATTAAAGTCTACCACAAAATAAAGCATAGTTTTGTGCTTTTGCCATTACATCTCCATTAAGATACATGAAATATCAGTTTTCAATTAGGTCTCTTTTATTACTGCCAATTTGACTCACARTCTTTCCTATCTTGGATGCAGAGTGATTTTATGCTCAGGCAGCAGCACAACTGAATATCACTATTCAAGCTCCCTGTAGATCTTACCAACTTTTCCAAGAAAAATACAGAAAAGCTAGGACCTGTAATTCTAATAACTTCTGTACATAAAGTGAACATGAGTAGAAAAAAGAAAGCCAGAAAAAAACCCCTCTAAGTCTGATAGACTATTACAAAGCATAGGTGAAAAGTTTGGACAAACTTTGTTTCTGCTTCATGGATTCACTAACTGAGATCCAAACAAGGTTTATAAGGATAAAAAATAAATAAAACAATATTTTACTGGACAGCATTTGCCCTCTAGGACAAACACTTGGTGATATTAACTGTCTGGCAAGGAGACTGACAGAGTCACAGAATTTTATCAAAAAAGCCGTTTTCCTTTCCTCCCACTTGGCAAAATAGAACATTATCTTAGCAGAGCAGGTTTCCGAACTGGGGCTTTTCAAACACTGCAAAGTGTGTTTCTGTGAAAGGCAGAACATTGTCACATCACCAGCTTTGGCACACAGGCAGGCAAACCACAATATGCGTGGGCCAGTGCTCAAAGATGCAGTGCCCCGCAGTGAATGAGCTCAGCAAAGCACTGTTTGCTTTCATCTGCTCCACAGAAATCCGGGGTTGAAAGGCTGTGGTCACAGAGGGGATGCATGGGGCATYCCCACCCCATGGCTGACATAACCCTACACTTCCACGACCTGCAGCATGGGCCTCTGGGCCATGGTTCCTTTACAGAGACAGCCTCACAAAGCTAAAATKACCCAGGAGCAATCCAGCACAATAGTGCACAGTCTGACAAGCTAAAAAAGAAAAGTCTGATGTTTTGTATACACCAGTTGACAGACATCTATCACTTCCTACCTCTACCCCACAGACAWATCAAAGGGAATCCCAAATACACCATGTGGGACTGAGCCTGCACAGAAACAATACAGGACATTCAGCCTTAGCATACAGCAAGAGACTGTTATTTGATCTGCCATGGCTAAAGCAGAGAAGACTTTAGCACAGATTACTGGTAATGTAAGGGAATATGTCCTCTTGGATTAGACAAGTAAAATGTTCACTTCTTAATAGGAAACACGGACTATTCAACTGCATGAATAACTAGTGCCGGCCAATCCTTGAAACTTATATGTTGCTGTCTTACTCTGTTGGCATCCAGGAAATTCTTCAATTTTATGGCCTCTGAATGTACAACCCAGCAACAATTCTGACCTTGGGTATTAAAATAGCATATTGAAATRATCAGCGGCTGCTGCTGTACCCAAGTGATCACCATATACAGATTCCCTGTTTCAAGTACACAAGATTCAAAGTGACCCAACAAGCAGGTACATGCCTATTTCCTAACATCTAGAGGAGTTTTCAGCAGTTGTACATCAGTGTAACTCTATTAAAATCAATTATTTGATTTTATTTTATGACCATGATTTTTTTTGGCTCCTAAATTCAACAAGAATATTGTTTTTCAGTAAACATAACTTAGGAACACTAATTAGATATGYCTCAACTACAAATAGGAAATATGGACAAATAGAAGCTACTTGATTTCATGTTAGAAACTGTTAAGAACACTCAGTTCCCACTATGATGCTRACTCTTTTATAGCTGCCAGAATAAACACATTCAGTATGCTTTCTGCTCAACTGCTGGTTACTTTAGATTTGCATCAATACACAACTGATGGACTATGTAACTACAGGGGAAGACAGCAGAATCATAAAAAGGCTGAGTTGTTATATCATATCATCATGAATTCAGTTGTCTCTACTGCATTTGTAAAAATCATACTCTCCAGAACATAAAAAAAGAAATACAAATAACAATTGAACATGCCAGCAACAATGTTACCTTTGGAAAATTTCTATGATTGCTCAGAACTTCCAAAGTAATATATAGAAAAATGTTTTCACTGCTGGAAATCTTTGATTTTCGCTAAGGATTTTCTTTGCTTTTTTTTTTTTAAGCCCACAAGATTTTGGTTTTTTATGATTCTATTCATTCCAGCCTAAGTTTGATGAAATTTCTTTAAATTAGATATCTTTAAACAGTAATGCAGTGTTAAAAAATYCAGTGGCATTTTCCACCTTGGTCTTTGTATTAATGTAATGGAGAGTCATGCAACTACAGAAGACAAACCCTCTGAAAGAGTTTATGGGCCCAGGGATCTCTCTTTGTCCAAAAGCAACACCTTTATACTGAATTAGAAGCTATTTCTTACCTGAAAAGAGTTCATGCATTGAAGTGAAGGGGGCAGAGATGCAGTGCTCAAACCCAGTATCAGCAACAATTCCAAACATGTTTCTGATGGAAACTTTAGAGGGTGAACTCCCATATCATTTTCCCATGCATCAGCAAGGCTATAGAGTTAAAAAAAAAAAAACCAACAAACACACTTCTTTCATTTTCTTAAGATATATCTAAAACACAAGTTTCAATTAAGTATTACAGTGTGTCATATCATTGTGATAAAAAATTCCCTTTCATGTTTTCCCTGTAAAAGTCACAGATCAGTGTGTTTTACCATAAAAACACAGTGAATTTATATACAGTACTTTAACCATACCACCGATATCTTTCAAAAAGACACATAATGTGAAAGGAAAATTTAGCACATTTTAGAGAAATTCACTCATGTTTCCAAATCAAATTTCATTACTTCTGATCAAAATTTCATCTGTTATTAGCAATTTCCTATCATACAATGATTTTACACACAGAGTATTGTATGCAGAACATAATGCTTCCACTTTTTATTCTGTTTCTAGAAAGAAAAATTCTTTTCACTTCTGAAAAGACAGGAGGTCAGGCATGATTTTTAAAACTGATGTTCATGATGTTCACTGGGGACTTACTAACATCCTGTACCAAGCAAAACTCAATCTCAGTCAATTTTATATAGCTTTTTGATTTAGATATACTAAAAGAATTAAGATCTCTAGAGTTACTCATAAAAGCAACATTCYAGAAGCATGTTCCTATAAACTGTTCCCACTATCACATGCTGAAAAACAAGATTAGCTCAACAAGATTTACTCAAAACACAAGGTCATTCTGCTTCTTATAGTTCAGGCTTATTTCTTCCATAAAGTACAAACTGACAGACTGATCAGTGATCCAGCTACTTTAATAACTTTGTCTGGGTAGGTAGTATCAGATACTCCTGGGTAAGATGAATGCCAATCATTCTCAGCAGAGCCGAGAGCATCACTTTGGAAGACAACGCTTGCTACCGTTCTCTGTCCAAGACTTCAGAATTTCAGTAAATGATCTTAATATCAGCTTTCACTTTTAAGTACTTCCAGCTCTTCTGACTGAACTGCTGCTTGTGACCATATCAGCTGATTTTAATGCACTTTCTACAAACAGCCACATTTTTTAAACACTTGGGAGAGCAGTCATGACCCCAGCATTCAGCAAAWACTGAGCAAATATTCTCTACACAGTATCTGTGACATCCTCGGTGGTTCTCATTCTCTCAGGTCTCCCAAACCCAGTGARTCTCCGTAAAGTCTTGCTTGTTTCATATAAGATTGCATATATACTTATTGTACATAGCACCTTCTTAGTTCTTTTAGAAGATGTCCYACGTAGCATAATTTACACATCTTTCTTCAAAGAGTGGGTGTACTTTCACTTTCTTATCTCCATTTGTATGAAATTGGCCACTTCAATTTTGACTCTTTGTTTTTTTCTTTCATAATATTTACATATTTTCCTCCTTCCTGATTTATCTATGGGTATATAAGAATCCAACTCTCATTTCATACATAGAAGAAAGACCTATAATGCACAGAGTGTTAGAGGGGCCTTCATCTCCCTAAAAAAAAGGAGTGTTTTCTCTCCTTTTTTTTAACCCCACAATAAAAGACAATCATACCACTTCTAGGTTACCAAATATATCATGTCCTTTCTCAAACCTCACCAGAGTGGGGCATCTTGACAAAAGAAGGTCTAAGCTTAACATGGTAAATTGAAGGAGGAAGGCATCCTCTGGCTCTTCTATTGACAGTGCATCACTTAAGATGTCCAATATGCCTGAGACCAGACCATTCTGCAGCAGCCAGAACCTCCCACACATTAACAGCCTTTATAATATGTAGTATCTCACACTTACACTGTGCCACATGGATCCAGAAAAGTTGTTAAAGCTATCACAAGAAACCCCAACTGACCAACTGACCACTAGGACAGGAAGGTGAGATGTTTAGAAGAGACTCTGGAGTATTTTCATTATTGCAAGATACAAGCCCTCAGTTAAGTCCCGAATAATATGTCCATATTGAATGGAAGCAGGATTCTTTTATAAGAATACACTTATTCACTTATAAGAATAAGTGGCCAAGCCCAGAAAAGGCAGCCTTGACTGGTTCAGGGTTCAGGCTGGGTGGGGCTTTGAACCTGGTCTAGTGGAAGGTGTTCCACCCCATGGCAGGGGGATTGAACTAGGTGATCCTTAAGGCCCCTTCCAACCCAAACCATTGTATGATTCTCTGATCCTATAAATGTTCCAGGAGGAACACTTAAAGCCACATGATGAGCACTAAGTAACCAGATAGCAAGGAGTCTTGTTAACTGTAATCCAGAATGAAGTTTTACATTTCCTTATCACTTTGTAACTTCATTTCCCAACATAATTAGAAACTTACTTTTATATGCTCCTTACTCATTCTTTTTTTTTCTACATTTTCTACAATCTGGTGATGCAGGCAAATTTAGGTGAAGCTAGCAGAATAGGGGCTCTCTTTTTCCGAATTTASCAAGTCTAAACAAAGCCATGCAGGCACCTTCAAAGACAGCCAGAKAGTTTAGAGACTGGAGATGGTATGCCAGAGTTCTGGGTCTTGGGAAGGTGTTTCCACAGATCAACACCCTCTCAGCAAAGGAACTTTTCAGAACTCCAAGCAATATTCAAAACATTATGACTTACATCAGTACCCTGATTCTATTCTTGTGTTTTGATATAAAKATTTTTTGAGATGCCTCCTCATTTTGAATTTCAACTAGTACAGCCCTGACACTGAACTGGGGATTTTTCTTTCATGGCTGTTGGTTTATTTGAGGGAAAGAATGTTTACATAAGGACATTTAGCCTAATTATATTGCAATTCTTATTTATTAATTGCTGAGTTATTAGTATTTCCTGACATTAGTCCAGGGCATTCCCTTATTATAAACAAAACATGCGTATCCTAGCACCTACTGCTCCAGGAACACACATGTTAGGAAGTAGTCTTTGTGACTTGCCCTTTCACAGCACTTAACACAAATGGTTGTGGGTAGTCACTGAATTATTATGATAATGATCATTTCTCATGATCATTTTCATGATCATTTCTCTTTGTTCTTCTTTATCCCTATTACTTTTGGAAGCATTTTTCCATAACTTGTATTGTAGAGGAAAGAGAAAAGCATCAATGCTTAAATCAAAAGCTAAACAGGCCACAAAGAATCCACTGCTTTTCAGCTTAGTTTCATGGTCATTCTGTATGAGAGTTGTCTCACTTCCAGTACAGGAGACAAGGCTGTTTCGTTTTTGTTTGCTTTGTGCTTACTGGAAGAGAAAGATTGACTGATAATGCTCCTCAGTAGAGTGAGCATCCAAGGAGGACACTCAGCCCTTCACAATTCYCAGAGATCACAGCACAGCTTGCTATGCTGCCTAAAAGGAATAAGGGAGAGATGAGACAGCTTGAGGAAAGTGAGRTTATCAAGAGAAATATTGGGTTTCAGCAAATATTGGGTTTTTCTACACTGCAAAGAAGCCTTGAGATTCTGGACTTCACAGTCTGACACAAAAAATATGAGCCTCAGAATCAAACAAAATTCATAAATTCTACATAGATTCTGTAAGTCATTGTGGGGAGCAAGACTTCATCTACTTTGTACCGATTTTGTGACAAGTAAAATCTCACCACTACCTATTGACCTTGACAGTGTTTGAGGGAGAAGGAAGTCAGCTTTAGAAACCAGGCTTTAAAAGAGTAAGATGTAGTAAAACATACTCAGTAAAATGGTCTAAACTCAGAGCATGCTCTGAGTCCTGAAAAGGATGTATAAGATTGAATTTTTTCATAGGACATTAAATCCACCCCTGCAAATCACCATCATCATCACTTTTGTCTGTCTCTTAGTGAAWGATCTCACCAACAGGAAAACACAGTTTTAAGTATTTCGTCTGTCATTCCATTCTTTCCATTTTCTCTCCCTTTCCTTTATCCCACTGTTCCCCAGAACTTGTATTAATCCTCTTMGCTTATTTCAACCAAATTTTCTTAAGCAAGATGTCAAATAAATTCAGTTTGGCAAAGTTTTACATTTTCCTGAAAATCAGTGTCTGAGTACTGAGAAGAAGTGCACATTAGTAACTCCASKGGGAAAAGCTGCTCATGGAACACAGCAACACACATACCAGCTAATCAAGTGGTGTTTACCTGGGASAATATTAGCATAAACTCAATAATATGACATTTCTATCCAGAAAAACCAACTACCATAAGCAAAGTAAACATGTTTTTCTGAGCCCTCTCCCTAATGAGTGAGGCAAACTGAGAGATGCAGTGCTTTTACTTAAGTGCACTCTATGTTGTGGCTTCAGGACAATTGGAAAAAAAAGTTCTGAAGTTCTGAGGCAGGAGGAGGGATTGATGATAATGGAATTGATCCCCAGTAAGGGCAACAGTCAGAGCTGTTCCAAGTGTTCATCAAACTCGAGACGCAGCCTCTTMAGATTAAAGCAAAACCTCCAACACAGAAATCCTTCTGATAAATCTAAGAGATATCTATTAGTCTCACCCATKAAATCACAATGAACAATGTAAAATTAAAAAGTATAATTAGAACTTTCACATAACTTTGATTTTGAAAAAGACAAAATCATGTATGATGAATGCTCATRAAACTTCAATATATTTCAGGCATACATTTCAGAACTGAAATGAAGTAGCACAGAAAGTGAAGAAGCAGAACTCTTCTCAAGGGGGTGATACTTGGCTACTGTGCTAGGGGCTGATGTGAGGCAACCATGTGCTACGTGGTAAACTGTCWGAGCAGAGCATTCAAAGCAAGTAAGAAATAAAAATGACAAGCTGAGACTATCTTCCCCCTTGTCCTTTCCAATGCCCTCTCTAAGGAGCTGGTCATTTGAAGGAGAAATTTAGAACATSATATGACTGTCACATTCCCATAACCAGTCCAGGAAATACAGTCAAGAAAGTAAAATTCCCACAGTCATAAGTATGATTTTTTTTTTTGTTTAAATGAAGTGGTATTTTTCAAAGATGTTCAGTTGATAATAATGGGAAGTCCATAGAAATTTCAATTTATTTTAAAAAGAAAAAGAAATCAGCAAATGCTCTCT